GGACCAGAGGTGAGTGGCGTTTGGAAATAGGTGCCCTCTGGGCATTGAGCATCTTGGAAGACCTGGCATTGGGGTCCTGAGGATGTGGCCGTGGGCCTGGCCGCGGGGGATTTGCTCTGGGAAATGGGGAAGTGCTGTTCAACATCAAAAACAGAGTTCATTTTGCATGTTAGAAAATCATCTTAAATAATGAAAGCAGTGTGATTTAAAAAAAGAAATCCGCTGTACAGAAAGGAAAGGGAATTACTCTGCTTTGTTTCCTTCCTGAGTTGGTCAGCCTCAAGCTCTGTTGGGGATTGATTGTTCTCCCCTGGACTGTCTGGGCTTGTTGATGGAGGAGTTGGAATTTGTGGAGGGAGGAGAGTCTCCCTTGAGCTTAGGAAGAAAGTTGGACCTTGGACTCAGAACAAGGAGAAGAGGGGCCAAGTCTGAGACGGGGGTAGGTAAGGTTGAGTTTCCTCTGGTGACATCCCTGTGTGCCGGGCTTTGGAGAGGGATGTGGAGGGGGCAGAGTCAGGAATCAGGTGAGTGGCGTGGGCAGGATGCATCAGGGTTGTGTAGCTAAGGTAGAATTAGGGCACACACCAAGTAGCAGGGGTTGGGGCAGTGGGGGGAGACCAGAATGCCAGGCAATGGTCAGGGTCCCACAGGTTTATAGGAGTTGAAGGGTGATAGGAAGCAGCCCTGGCATCAAGCAGGCCCAGGAATTTGAAGCAGTGTCGTGTCATGCCTCATAACTAGAATTATGATTAGATTCGTGGTGGGACAGAAACCAGGCCCTACTTTCACTGTCACTCTAAGCAGAGAGCAGGTGCTTTGAGCATCAGGTTGAGGATTAGGGTCAGATCCCGGTTAGGGTCCACTAGGACCCTCTGGTTGCATATCTTGACTTTCATCTTCTCTCCTCATCGTCTGGTAAACTTTTCCATGGTGACTTTGGCCTTTGCAGGTGAACTTGACCTTGAGAATCCAACTGGATTAATGCTTTACCAATGCTAGACTTGCCTTCTGAGCAGGGTCCTTCCTAGTCCACTAAATTAGTGGAAATTAGTGGACTAATTAGTAGATGCATAGATTCCAGAGGCCAGTGGCAAGACTGAGCAGTTAGGGAATGGGTTGGCTTGGTCATCTTTTAGCTGAAAGACATGAAATTTGGGGTATATTTTCAAGGAACCTGCAGGATTTGAAGATACTACATTGGGATACAGCGATTGGCTAAAAGAGTTTAAACAACAACAAAAAGACGAATGTGGAAATTGGTCCTTGTCCATACAAGTTAGTGGGGAAAACAATGTAAAAGTAAGTGATTTGTGCTCTGAAGGAGGGATACGTGGTAGTCATGAGAACATGTAATCCTAGAGGCTCCCATAGGTCCAGAGCTGGTTAGTAGGAATGATGTTTAGTACAAATGAAGGTGGCCAAGGTGACTTTCACAGCATCCAGCATTGTTCTGCATTCTTGAGATGAGTCAGAGATGAGGATATAGATAATGGAGGTCATGGTTCAGGGTGTTTGGCAGGGCCTTGAGCAGCTCTTGTGACTTACTTTGAAGGGTTGGGTCAGAGACAGGTCTTATTTTAGGCATGGATACAATAGTATTGCAAGAAATAATGGATTGCCTAAGAATTAGGGGTCACCAGAAGGGACAAATACGAATCTTGAGCTTTTTCCTAGACTTCCTGCCCTATCCGTGCTCTTCCAGTTCTGCAGTACAGCTGAAGTGGAGGACCTTAGGTTGAAGGGGATGCTTGAGTGTCTCCTTGTTCTGATGAAGGATACTGTGGATTGCTGCTGGGCATTGCCATCAGGAAGGCTGACCTTGACCAGTGGTGGGTTTCTCTGGTGCTGGGCTGTCTGAAGGTCACCTAGTAGCATCTGGTGATGTCAGGGAAGAGATCTCTCTAGGCTGGTCCATTCAGGGAACCGACTTACTCCAATCTGTCATACTTGAGATACACAACATTTACTTTGCCATTCTTGGGCTTGAGGTTGCTCAGGTCATTCCTTGACCACAAGTGGAAATCTGGGAAGAGAAGTGCTCAGCTGGCTTGGCAGGTTTCCAGGAGTTGCATTGATTTGCAGTGTCCAGATCTTAGGTGGACAGTAAGGACCTGATCAGAGTGCTGTGTGCCTTGGGGCTATTCCTCGAAGGCCACCTTGGTGACTGGATGCTCCCAGACCCTTTGCTCTGCCAGAGTGAGCCTACACAGGTATGCAAGGGCTCAGATCTGCTGAGACCGGACATCTCCAGTAGATCATCTGGAGGCCTGGCATTGGGTCATGGTGAACAGGGACTGAGGCAGAGAGGGACGCCTGCTCCACTTGCCAGTTGCCCTCCTGGCTGATGGCATTCTGTTTTTATTCAAAATAAAATGGAATTAATTGATGGTTGTCACAATGTGATGTTGGGGGTGGGTAAACATACTAAGTATGTGCAAATCCTCCAAAGCCTGGATCCTGGAATTTTGCCTGAAAGATGCTGAACTAATGACCTCAAGGAGACTGTTCTGGAGGATGAAGGATTGTTCTGGAAAAGGATGAAAGCTCCCCCTTTCCAAATGAGTATGAGAGTCTGGACATCAGAATCACCTAATTCCCGGGCCTCCAAACCAGAGATTCTGATTTAATAGTCTGAGGCCCAAGAAACTTCAGTTTTCCAGGATCATGCTAATTTTCAGCCAGATGTGGAAACCAGATTTGGAAACAGTTACAGTTCCAGGGCAGCTCTACCCACTCTGACGTGAAGTTTGCCTCCTTGTTTCCTTGTAGGGGACCTTGAGCCTGAACGCTAACCATGGTCACGTATGTGGTCTTCTCTTTATGCCCCTTTCCCAGAGCTTGTCTTTTGTGGGCGCTGCCCCCTAGCTTTGCCTCAGCCTAGATCAGAGCTGGCTGCTCATCCCTTTCTTGTGCATGAAGGAGAGGGGAACCCCACCTGGGCATTTTGATGGGCTGGTATCCTGGGGCACTTTCTCACAACATTTCTGCCTGAGGTTTGATTGCATAGTTGATTCTGACTGTAGGAATCCACCACCCGAGGTGGAGACAGAGCCAGGTGCAGGGAGAAATCTATTTACTGTCTTTTCATACATTGTTGGAAGTACTGGAAATACTGAAAGTCTGTGTTTCTACGCCCATGTTTCTTGGGCCCTGCAGACTCTGGGACAGCATTGGTTGCCCTGAGGGAGTCGCAGGTGGACGTTGCCAGGCAGCAGGACTGAGTTGGTGGCATTCTTAATGTGGCACTCGACAAGGTACACTTCCAAGACTGCATGTGTAGGGCTGTGCCTCAAGTCTCAGTAGATACTGGGTCAGGGGGCATAAGGCAGGGATTTTTAAGACCCATGAGGTAACACAGGATCTGGACAAAACCAAATTGGAGGGGCTGTTCTTATTTTTTTGCTTTTACCCATGTTGTCCCATTGCCTGTAGTTCTCACCTTCCCTCGGGTTGCCCCCTGCCTGCTCCACCCCAGTCCCTGCTTTAGGCTTTCCTCAGGCTCCTGTCCAGGGTGGGAGGCATCTCTTACCACTAGGAGCCCCTGCTCAGTGCTGCTGTAGCACCCGTGCGTACCCAGCTCTGGGTTTCCCCGTAGTTTTAGAGTTGAACGTCTGGATCTTTTACCCAGACGGAGCCACGTAGGGGCAAGGACTGGGTCCTTTCATCTTAGTGTATCCATCACCTTGCACACTGCCTGACGTGTAATAGGGTTCAGTAAATATCTGCTGAGTGAATGAATCAATACATTCTGAGAAGGTGATATAAATAACTCCCTCCACGACCTTATAGTTGAACATTGTTCATTTATTACAGTGCTAGTGTCTGTACATAAGCTTATTTATAGCCTCGTATTCAGGATGCATATTAAGGGAGATTTTTCTAGCATAAGGAGTATTTCAGACAGTTTGGAACATTAACTGAGCACTTTTGAAGTAGCAGATTCATGGTATTTGTGAAAACTTTTTGTACTTAAAGCAGCAAAATTATTGAAAATGTCACATTAGGAAAGAAGCCCTTAGGGAACCTGATGTAACGTACTCTTCTTTGGCAAATGAAGGTACGGCAAACATTTTAGTAGAACAGGTTGGATACTTCAACTGTATTTCCTTGAATTGAAGATTAGCTTTCAGAAAAGCGCACACATACACATGTGTGTATGTGTGTATATATCAAATTTGCTTTTTGCTTTGTAATATGAGACTATTGTGCAGTGGGGCATAGTGAGAGGGACCTGGACTGGACGTAGGTCTAACTGTAGGACTGGGCAAGTCAGTTTCCTGCTTTCACTTGTATAAAGCAAGTCTTATTCAGGGGTTGCAGGAGTGAGGTTACTAATTTAAGTTGCTATATGTGCTGTGTCTTTTATTTGTCTCTTAGAACTCAGCCCCTTTTTTGTGTTCTCACTTTTGCTAGAGTCATAGGTAGAAGGGAAGATTTCTGTGCCACGCACAACAATAATTCAAGGACAGTGATAACTACACCTTTTCTCTGTATTGAGACGATAGGGAGAGGTGAGGACTGTGGCATATTGGAATAGCCAAGCCTGTGTATGAAGGGCAGCTGCTGCTTAGCACCACTGATCATTTTTTAGACATAAACATGGACCATGTTGGCAGATCCTCTTTTTTTTTTTTTTTTTTTTTTACGAGAAGCCAGAATTCTGGGATTTTATGTGACATCTCTGATTTTTAAAGTTCGGCTCAAATTTCCTAAACATATCCTGCAGATTAATGCAATACCTCTGTAGACTAGATGTGACCCCCTAAGTTTCTGTTATAGATGATCTCTGAAGCTGCTTTCTGCCCAAGATCCATTGATTCTAATGGGGACAATTTCAGCCCGTGAACTAAAGATTCTCCTTCTGCTAAGGAAGTCAGGGTAGGAAGAAAGTGGGGCTGCAAGAGAGGATGGAGGCTTTGAGTCTAAACAGGGTGTCTGGCGAATGGTATTTGGATGGCCTCCCTGGAGAGAGGCCACGGGGTGCCTGATTCACAGCAGATGTTTTGTGTGTTTGTCATTGCAGGAGTGGCATTTGTTGGAGGAGTTTGTGAAACCTCTCTGCCCAGAGCTCCAGGACCAATGCATCTTTCCACCATCTTAAACCACTGGTGAATATGTGTGTCTTTTTGTTTTCTGCTGCTGCGGTGAAGAGATGTATTTTCAGTGGAGTGTAAAATGTGATTTTCAGGGACCTACACTATCCTTTCTATTACAGAAGGAAGGACACTGGCACAGGTGTAGGCATATCTGGGTTCTGGCAGCTACTTGGTTCTGCCATGTCTTGTGGGATCTCAGGTGCGTTGTTTGACCTTCCTGGGCCCCCAGACAGAGAAATGAATCCTGCCCTGCTGAAAGATGATAGATGTGAGAATGCTTCCAAGGAATAAAGTGCTGAGCAAATATAGAGTAATCCTATTTGGCTCTGAGATGCAGAGCTGGGCTGTTCTATGCGAACAAATGAAGATGTGAACGTCTATGTTGGAAACATGGATTTTCACATACCTCCTATTTTGAGTCCTCCAAAATGGTTCTTCAAGAGATTTGCATTTTCACTTTTTTCCTTCCTACCAGTGCAGATGCCATTTTTTAAAAGAAAGGTAAATTAACTACATTTCACAATTACCTTCATTTTTATGTGAGATCAGATAATTTCACAATTGACAAGTGTTCTTCTTTTTTCCAAAAGAAACTTAATTATGCATCACAGCAGGTAAATGTCTTGCATCTGTGGCAGTTGAAAGAGGCAAAACTATGGCCTTAACCACAGTGCGGAGGGCACGCTGAGGCATACTGGCTAGTGGATGGTGGTGGTCTCCCGTGAGCTCCTGTGGGGAAGGACCATAAGCTGGGAGGTCGTGAGACCTGTGCATCTTGATTCCAGTCACTCTTTGTTGAGACAAGCTGGCCTGTTTGCTGCTGCCTGCCTGGTCAGCTCCCACCATGTGGGCCAGGTGTTCTTATGACCCAGTGGGACACTGCCTAGTGGTGTGGCCACCTGGGGAGCTTGCAGTGGGCTGGAGTGGGACAAAGGAGGGGCAGGCAGTCAGGCCCAGGGTTAGGGACCCAGCTCTGGCATGGGAGATTGACTGTCCCCATTGCTGTGTCTAAAGGGATTCGGACATTCTGGGTCCCTTAACTGAGTCCCATCTGTTAGGAAGAGCTCTGTGGTAGGAGTCCTCAGGAAAGCAGATGGTCTCAGGTGGGTGGGACACTTTAGCCATTCGGCAAATGTGTATTAATGCCCACTCCGGGCCAAGGTGCTGCTCTGGGCACTGAGGACTCGGTTACAGACTGAAGCTTAGATTCAAGTGGGGTGACAAGCAAAATGTAACCTCCATAAAGGCAGAGATCTTTGTTTATCTTCTTCACTGCTATGTTCCTGGCTCCTTAGAAGAGTACCTTGCATATAAACATGGTGGGTCTCACTAAATACTCTTTTATGAATGAAGGAAATAGCCAAATAGATAATATAATTTCAGATAGTAGTAAATGTGAAGGACTCTTTTTGAAAAGGGTCAGAAAAACTTTGTGTGAAAGAGGTTGGAGGGTGGATTTTGTGCAGAGATCTGAATGAAGTGAAGGGATCTGGGGAGAAGGGTTTAGGCAGAGGGAATAGCAAGCAAGAAGCAAGGCATTTGATGGAGGCTGAGCTTGGCGTGGTAGAGGAACAGGAAGGTGGCCAGTGTGGCTGGCCCTGAGCTGGGGGTAGTTGTGGGGAGGGAGTGATATGAAATGAGATCAGTGGTAGGTGGGAGCCAGATCTTTTAGGCATGATAAGGAGTTTGGATTTTACTCCACAATCCAGAGTGTGGTTGGATACCATTCGAGAAGTTTGAGTAGAATAGTGATGTGATCTTCTTTGTGCCTTAAATGTATTTCTGAGTCCTGAATGGAGAATAGACTTTGGAGGCAAGAATAGAATCAGTGTGACCTGCAGGAGGCCCTTCAGTGATGCAGGCAAGGGATAAGGGAGCAGCTTGGACTAGTGTGGTGGCTGTAGAATGACATGAACTCGTCAAGCTCAGGGTATATTTTGAAGGTAGAGCCGGCTGGATTCGGGGTGTGTTGTGAGCAAAAAAAAAGTCAAGAATGAGTCCAGTGTTTTTGGCTGAGTGAATGGCATTGTTTATTGAAATGGGGAGCAAAGAAATATTTGGGGGGATCCTGAGTGTTCTGTTTGTGCGTATGAAGTTTGAGATGCCCATTTGATATTCTCATTAAAGATTTAGAGTTGGCTGGTGCTGGAAATGGTACTTTTGAGAGTCATCAGCATGTAGATGGTATTTGAAGCTCTGAGACTACATGAGATCACTTAAGGCGAAAAAGGAGGGACAGGTGGGATTTGGACAAAGAAAAGAAAGGCAAACTGGATTTTCCAAGTAAAACCCCTACTAAAGAATTAAATGAAGACACACGCTAATGAATATGGAATATTTCATGTAATGCAATATAAATTATTCAAATAAGATAATGATATAAAAGTAGTAATAAAGCCTCACCTTATGTAAAAAAGAAAATCAAAATATACTGTGACTCCCCCAAATCAAGAAAATTCGTTTTCGAATTGCATGATTTAAAATGTGACCAGCTGAGTGAATTATCATCTGCATTTATGCAGTTGGCACATGGCTGTCTTTGGCTGGCAAGCAGAAGGATCCAGCATCCTTTGCCAATAACAGCCTATAAACTACACTGTTCTTTATGTGCACTAGAATGTCTACAAGCCATTTTGATGAAGTTTAATTCACTGTTAATACACTTGAAATTTTTTTTCAACCTATAATCATATCATCCAAAAGTTCATTAAATGAAGGTTCACTAAGTGAACAACAATGCCTGAAAATCAGTAATTTTTCAGTGACGGTTGTGATACAATTTTATGAAAAGACCAAACAGGCACCATGATTTGCAGGACCACAATTTAGGAAACATTGGGGATATCTTTGAAATACCAAGGATAAATGCTGCAAGGTAATAAAGCAACAGATACAGACAGTGATGGTTGTAGTAGACATGTGTGTTTCAGGACCACCCATACCCCTTAACTGTCATCAACTGATATGAGAAAATCAGTTCGAACATACATTTTCATCTGTTTGTTGGCTTCTGGCACAAAATACAGCTCTCTGTATTGATTTTGTCCACTTTCCAGAGAAATTGCCCCACTGAGCTTCCTGCATATTCTCTGAGCGCCTTGGTTTTTGCATTTTCAGGTTACCTGGTAAGTTTCTTTAGTCTGGTTATCTCTGGCCCCATAGACACTTTTGCCTCCTCCCCACAGTAGCAACTCAAAGCCCTCCCTCTCACTGGGCTTTAGGACCCACCGTCTCTGACTGCCCTAACTCTCCAGAGGCTTTTGAATATCCTCAGGATTCTCTGCTTTGAAAAATGTTTCCACTTCTTCTCCAGGCTTAGTTTTTTTAAGGCTTTTTGTGGGTATGACAGAAGAATGAGAAACCAGTACAGCTGTTGAGGGCAATGTGATAAGCAGCATTCTAAAATGTGTTGTTTCAAATTGCTTGGGCAATGGGCAGCCTCAGCTCTGCTTTTTGTATATCTCAAGACCCTTGTGTTTCAGTGAGAATAGTCTCAATGAGGCTTCTGGGGCACCTAATCTCTGGAAAATGAACACTGATTATATAGCATTCTGTATCTTTCACCATTGACTTAGGGCAAAATGAAGGTTTCAGTGGAATGTTATTCATGACGATTGACACCAACCCTGGTTTTCATTTGTCATCTTTTCTCAGAGTGGAACCTAAATAAAATGAAAAAGACTGAAACTGACTGACAGTCATAGCGGGGAGGATTTCTCCTTCCTGTTTCCTTTTTAGTAAGTGATGTCAGGAATGAGGGAAAAAAAAAAAGAGATGATACCTTTCCCTGCCCCTGGAGCCTTAAGAGTGGTGGGTCATTTTTTAAAAAATGATGGTATCTGCCTTAAGTTAAAAAAAGAAAATCCAGGTATGCAGATAGTGCTTCATTGCTTGTGTGCATGTGGACCATCTCAAGAGGAGCTGCTAGAGATGAGGGCAGTGGAAAAGGAAGGAAACTTTTCATTCTATACCCTTTTGTACTTCTAAGTTTGTTGGTATCCTGTTTATGCATTACCTTTTAAAAGTATAACCGTATCCCTTTTAGGCTTAATAAGTGATCTAGAAAAATGTAAAGCTCCTTCACTACTTGATTTTATCAGTCTTGCTCAATGTATATGTTGACCAAGATCATTGCCCATCACTGTCTGTTGCCTTTATTTGTCCTGAGGCTTCATGTTAATCAATTTGGGACTAAGCTTTGGGAAGAAATTTTCCTTTCCTCTTCCAGGTTCTTCTGGCTGTTCTAAGAATTAAATTGATGTGAGACAGATTAACAGGAGAAAACCAAACAAAAGCTTACTAATGTGTACATGGGAGAGACCCAGGAAAACTGAGTAACTCCTCCAAATGGCCAAAGCCCTCACTTTAAATACCATCCTCAGCTAAAGACAAAAAGAGGGTGAGAGTCAGTTATGGGAGGTGACCTGGAAAAGCTCTGTCAGCTTGGGTAGAGCTGTTATGCAGATTAGTCATTGCCTTCTCCACTGATAAGAGTTTCTAGGGATCTGATCATCCTCCTCTTCCTGGCACAGCTAGGGAGATTTCCCTTATAGATGTGTTTCTTATAAAAAGGTAGCTCCTCTCTGGTTTTCAAGAGTTTTTCTCCTATCTGCTGTTTCAGAAACTGTAACCAGCTCAAGATAATTATATGCCAAGGGACATGTTTTGGGGTGGCAAATTCTGTTCCCTACCACTTCTTTAACTTGAGTTTCAAATTTTTGCGTGTTAGGGGTATGGCAGTCAGGTCAATTTCATTCCTCCCTCCCTTCTTTCAAAAAGAATTTAAGGCTGTTTCTGGCCAGTATTTTATTCAGCTACTTTAGACAAATGTGGGTTCAGAATGGGGTATAGTTGCCATGAGCTGAGCCACAAATTATGTTCATTTTAGCTGGACATCTCCCTGCTGCCCTTTAGAGCAAAGTCTTATGCATTTGTGGAGCAGAATGTGGGATCTGGAATGAGTTATTCTTGATAGTTCCTAACCCCAGAGTTAAGTCAAATTAAAATAATTG